TTTGTATAGAAATTTATGTCAGGTTTGTATGGTAATTAATATTTTTTTTAACTTGATTAAATATTTTTGATAATCTTTACATTGATAATTTATCATGTTATTGTTTTTGAAATAGCACAACATTATAATTAATTATTTAGAAGAATATTATTTGCTCTTGAAAAATATCTATTATAATTTTCATTATTCTAAAATAATATTGACATGTTGCTTTTGAAGAAGCACAATTTTGTAAACATTACATTCTACTAAAATACATACTCTTAAATAGTTGATATTTCTAAATAATATAATATTGTTGCTCCTGAGGTAGCACGCTATTATTGATACTTTTGTTAAATTTTAATTGCTCCCAAAAAACATAATTAATTAAAATATAATATAAATTATGTTTTTTCTCCCGAAGAGTAAATCTTACATAATTTATATTTTAAATAATAATATATTATTTCTCCAAAGAGAATACCATTAAAATTCTAATNNNNAAGAGAATACCATTAAAATTCTAATATTTCAAAATAATATTGATATATTACTCTTGAAGAAATTATAGTCAACGTGTTCTCGAAGTAACACATGTTTCGAAAAATATATCATTTTGACTTAGTGTTTAAACATGAAGAAAAACAAACAACTCATATCATGTGGACATTGATTTTTCTATTATAGTTCATCAATTTTTGAAAATTAACTATACCTTTTGTTTGATTGAATAGTTATTGAAACGGCAAGCATTATACCGAACCAAAAGTTCAATTATCGAATGTATTATTGTTTGGTATGATTAGTTAGACAATCACTAAATCAATAATGATGCGAACTAGAGAAATTAAATGGACATTCAACGATGAACCAAAAGATTCTTCAATCCAATAAATTCCTATATGATATTTTTTTCTCTCTATTATTGGTCATTAATCATTTCTAAATAAATAAGATTGTATTCTCTATATTTTTGAAAATTAAGTGGGTGACACATAAGCCACGTTATCCTCCACATTGACTATTTACATATTATTTGTGTCTAATAGATTTGATACGTATACTAGAGGATTGCATGATATTTGCAACTTGGAGTTTGAGAAATTACTGTTCAAATTTTAAATTATGAGTGTAATTTTCAGATTGTACAATCAAGATTATGTGTCTTGTTAATGTTAGTGAACCTAAATCTCAATATTTTAATAAATATTAGTTGGGATATCATTAATTAATTTAACACAATCATTTGAGTGTTTCCAATTAATTTCTTAACAATAACTATTGAGAACAAAGTATTTCTCATTCGTGTTTAGGGAATGTTATTAGGTATCATGCCAACATCAAGTTCTCCCTATTATAATTGGCTTGTGGTTAGAGCTTAATATTTTCCATCTAATGATTTAGAAATTGCAACATATGTATATTGCTTAATAGCGATGCACTGAGATGGATATTAAAGAATATTGAGAACATAAGCTTAGTTTAAATCCTTATAGAATATTTTAAACTCGACAGATAATATTTTATAATGTAGTTTGCTAATTGTCAATTTGATTAAACTATTTTCTTCTAAACATTATGGGGAGGAATTAAAAAAATGAAAATAATGTAAAAATGCATCATTATCTAAATCATCACAAAAGATAATTCGAATCAGAATTTTGAAAGATAATTCATTTAAATACATTTACTGACTAAAGATATTAACAATATCTCACACATCAACTTTAAATACTTCAACTCAAATTAACGTCATTGAAGATAAATAGTTAATATTATATTTGAAAAATTTATGGCACGTATGAAGCATGATGATATTCAATTTTAATATTAAAAAATTCAAATGAAAAATGGAGCAATTAGTAAAGATTATCCCATTAAGGAGGCATATACTCTTGATAAGTATTTAGATATAACAAATAATTAAACCCTAGAAAAGGTTTAGGCACCCGATTTGTTGAAAATTGAGATATCTTAATAAGTTATGTCATTACAGAAAAGAACAGAATCGAAAAAGAAAAAGTAGCCGACAATACTTTTGCACATAATGTACTGCATCACACAACGAAGAATCGAAATAAATGCAACGAAATATATCGATCGAATTAATGATTGACCAAATAAAATGGACCAATCTTAAATTAAATTTAATAAAGAAATCTGAAATTTCTAGACCCACGGTCCAAAAATCTAAAGGTGTATATTTATGCAAAAATGAAATAAGAAAAATGAAATCGTAGTATGTAACGCACGACTCTTAACATAGTAAATTTCACAAAAATCGTGGTGAACAAATTCACGAGTCTATATCATGTTATCTTGACAATACGTGAAATTTGAAATGCATTTTAGTCATCTCATCTGACATGACTATTAATGTTATTCTTGAGAGATTTAATATGTATGAAGCATAATTCAAGTGATATTATCATGGGGAGTAAAGTAAATATGCGTTGTATTTTTTTCCTTAACCAAGGTTTTATCCTATTGAGTTTTCTTGATAAGATTTTAATAAGAAAACTTTTATAGCGTACTCAAAAGAATAATGTATTATTTTTCCTTCATTAAATTTTTTTCTACTGGAGTGTTCTAATAAGATTTTAGCGATGTTATATTTTTTATGTAATGAATGTCCATAACCTAGAAGGCATATACCATCAAAATATCATTGTATTTCTAATTCTTCCCTATAAATATGAGACATTGGTTCTTAATAAAATACACAATTCTATTTGCTTCTCTCTTTTGTTCT